CCTTTTTCTCTCGTAGCTCATTTCCTTCTCTCTTTCTCTCGGACTCTTTCTATGATCATTTTTTCATATGTCTCGAGCCTAGCGGGCAAAAAGATGCCCGAGTACTATGTCACACTTGCCTTCGTGTATAAACGCGAGTCCTACTTTGAAGTTCCGCGCGTTAATGCGTTGCGTCTATGTCCGCTAAAACTCTTTGTCCTCGACCGACCGATTAATTTCTCCCTCCCTTCCTCTCTCCCGTGATGGACTTTCCTCTCTCGCGGGAGCAAAGGAAAACGACAGAAGAGCGTGTCGCGTATATCGTAAAGATCCGCAAACGCCGATCTTTACGATATTAAAGCGCGCAACATCGATGGAGAAGGAAGAAGGTTTTAGGATTTTCCGAGCTCTCTCTCTCTCGTGTTTTCAAATATGTCTACTATGTTTATTGTGCGCAATTTTTCGACAAGGTTGTATGGTAACGAGGCTGCTCGCGCTCTATATTACGAGGAAATTTATAAAGCGCAAACCGCACCTATGTCATCCGAGGATAATGGCGATACGCAGTCTATTTCGTACATCCTGCCGTGCCTTGTCCGGTTCTATCGGGTCAGCGAGTATCAACGAATCTCGATTGCACAATGGAAAGTGCAAGTAATCTGAGAAATTTATTTTTTTTTAATTAATTCTTCTAAATCTCTTCTTCAAAGTCTTGATCTAAAACTCGTTTTTTACAAATATTTTGTTTTTAACTTTTGTTTTTCATTTTACATAGAAAAATTTTCATGTAGAACATCACGTTTATTTTATCTAGAAATTTGAACTCGAGAAGATTTTCATCCTGATTAACCAAATCATCCAGGAGATGGCGCAATAATTCTGGAAGATATTTGTTTTTTTTTCTTATTTGCAAACGTATGCGAGAATTGCGCTCAACTTCAGCCGAAGATACCGTATAAGTACAGCGACAATGAGAGGGCAGGCGGAGGGAATGAGAAAACCGAGAGAACGAAGGAGGAGAGAAACGAAGAAGCCGTCCGTCGCGGAGGTGGTGGTAAGTCGTTTTGTGTCTGCAGCTCGTCTAAATATACACGATCCTCTCCTCAACGCGATGCAGCCTTTCTCAAAGAAGCAGGAGAGATGCGAACGCGGGGTCTCGTGTGGTGCCTCGATTTTCGAGAGAAACCCCTATATGCATTTTGCACGCGAGTGCACGCGAAAGGGCGAAAAATCACGCGATGCGCAAACGTGAGGGGATCATCCGCGCGCGCTCGGTCGTTATGAAATTGGACCGAAAAAGCTATAAACGCGTCGGCCTGTTTTCTTCAGTTCTTCAATATACCGTTTAGCGTCTTTCCGAATAATGATCCTTTAACGCTTCGAGGAAATTGCGAAATAATTTCAATGAATCGGGTAATGCGGATAAAATTTTTTCTCATGTTAATATCTTTTACATATTTTTCAGTATTCAAGTTTTAAACTTTCTTGTTTGGGAAATTCCCTGAGAAAAAAATAAATATTTTTAATCAATATATATGCATTATTGTGTTTTATATAAAATAATTTATGATTTATATAATATAAAAACTAATTTATGTGTGTGTGTCGGCGTGCGCAAAAAAACATAGTGCTTTTCTGTTTTTTTTTTTTATTTCTTAGTTAAAGAATATTATTATATTTTTTTATTTCTTAGATAAAGAATATTATTTATTTTGTAAATTTGTTCTTGTCTTTTTTCTATCTCTTTTTTCTTCGTTTCTGACTTGCTTTTTCATTCTCGTGTATAGATCGTATACAATATCGCGTGCACATGGAAGTTAAATAAAACGATTACACGAGAATGACGGTGTGTTGCGGACTTGGCTAGTCACAAGTGCAATGTGCAACGTGCAATGCGGCCGTCGTCGTCGTTCGCCTACTTTGAAAAAAAAAAAAAAAAAAGCGCATTGGCTTACTAAACTTATTTAATGCACAACGGCGTCATTGTCTTTGTGGCTGCAGCCAATTAGCCGCGAATCTTGTACGGAGGATCGTGCGATGCATTCGCGAGGGCACGAGGAAAGGGTTTTCGATCGCGCGTGGATCACCACGTGAATAAGCCCCATTTATGCAAAACTTTCAGGCGTTTTTAAACACGCGCTCTTCTTCCGAGGTAATCTGCCGTCATATGAAATTGGGGTAGAAATTGATCGAATCTGTATACGAACGAGGTACAAGACGCACATAATGTCTCCTTTTTGGCCGAAAATGTCGAAATCCAAAATTTCCTTCTATCCTTGACGTTTCTGTCTAAATCACGTGTGTGTGAAAACATTTCATCTTTATATTTAAATAATAACGCATATCTTTCTTTTCATAAAAATTATAATGAGCTTTACATTCAATAAAAACTCATTGAACAATATATACACCGTCATCTGTGTTCGCTTCAACAGCCATTAACAACACCTTTATATTTAAAAAAAAATTATAATGGTTTTTTTACAGAAGTATTGCGTGCTCGATTTTTAATATCTGATCTACATATTTTCTTATTCTCTTTAATAAATTGAAAATGATTATGTAAAATTAAAAACTTATAATTACAATATATATATATATATATATTGTAATTATATATTGTAATTATATAATTTATATACACGCGATTCCGATCGAACAAAAATAGAATAGATTTCGATAAAATTTTTAATTGTCTTCAATTGTAATTATAAATTTTTAATTTTACATAATCATTTTCAATTTATTAGAGAGAATAAGAGAATATGTGATAATACATATATATATATTATCACGTTTGAACCCAAAAAAATGAAAAAAATTGTATTTCATTGAAATTCATCGCGCACTAGAGACGTACACTACTAAACTGTGGTGTTAAAAGTAAGGGTGCGACAACATTTATTTTTACACATTAAAGTCTCGCGTGTACGAGACTCGTGGGTCGTTCACTGTCGCCACCTCGACGATAAATACTAATTGAGATTAGCATCGGCGGCTATGCTTAACAGGTGTTCCGTGAAATTCTCCGAAACGAAGAGAAAAGAGAAAAAGATCTGAAAGTTGAGAAAACCAAAACCAAAAGAGACATCTTTTTCGTGATGCGACAATAAAAGTATTAAAAAACCGCATTGCGTTACATTTTGTTATGATTCATACAAATGGGTTTGTATATATTATGTTATACAACAAATGTATATATTATGTATATATTATGTTATATAACAAATGTATATATATTATGTTATATAACAAATATCCTATATATTTTTTATTTTTTATATCAAAACAGTTTTTTAAATTTTCAAAAAGATTTATCTGCGCGCAAAGATATTTTTCTTTTGCAAAAAAACTTAATGTTCGATTAAATCACACGTCTGGAAAAATTTAGTTAAACACGACGCAAACAAATCGGAGGATCTGCTTTCAATGTTTAAAATAACAATCATTCCAAAATCAACGGAGATTTTCTCTGTCGCATGCGGTAACTTTGAAGAAGGATACGCTTCGAATATGTAACAGCTTAACTTTCTGGTGACGATCTCCAAATCGCTCGCGCGCGGAAGCCGCTGCTGACGTTATGACGAAATGTCAAGCAAAATTGAACAAGGAACGAGAATAAAACGAATTCATTTCGCGGAATACTTATGCGAATTAATAAACAAGTTATTGATTATAAACCGAGACTTTTTTTTTATATACGCAGTTTATTCCGCAAACATATGTGTGACGATGCGCATGTATGTAACGTTGATAGATAAATATTTCGATATTGTAATTGTTTTTTTTCTGCAAACGTCGCGGAACGATAGAACCCGCGATAAAGCGGTATACACGTTTAAATTATATTTAATTAGTCATTACTTACGCTGTGTTATACAATGTGAATTTTTCAATCTGAATCAACGAAAAATAATTAATTTAATAATAAATAACTAATATAATTGTGTAGAACACGACAATTGTATTAAAGAACTTATATAATAAAATAAAATAAAACAGCTTAGAATTATTAGAACATATACAATAGCACACAGATACAAAACCCGTGTAAGAAGATTGGTGGAAGGAAAAAGAGGGCACGATCAAGCCGGTGGACATTGCTAGATCCTTATAAAGAAGAGAAACGAGCTACTCGGGTCCTTTTCTCTGTTTTATGCTCTCCCATCTCTCTCTTTCTCTCTCTCTCTCTCTCTCGCCGCGACAATTCACAAAGCTGTTGAGAGCTCCGCGTTACAAATAGCAAGACAATTTATTTGAAAAAAAAATGAAAAGAACATTAAACATTCACGATGCGATTTTAAAACTGTCGTCTAACAATTTCGCAGTTTAAGTGTAGTTTGTAAATAAAATTTTTTAAAATATCGATAACATTTAAATTTGTGCAAGCATATATTAAAAAAACGCGAAACTTCGTTTCTTTTTTAACTATTTGCGCTGATTTTATTGATAAAATTTGTACACGCGGGCGAAAATCAGATCAGGTGATATCAGATTCAGCAGTATCGGTGAAAGAATCATCGCGGAATGGCGTAGCGAAAGCGTAATCTTGCGGCTATCGCGAGTCGCGAGGAGAGGAACATTGTTTTTTTTTTTTTTTTTTTTATTCGAGATCGATTATATCATTTTACAGAAGTGTAATGTCAAATCAAAACTCGATGCGGTATGTAAATACAATACTCCATGTGAAAATAAAACGTAATTTTTGTGTGTATATGTGCGCGCGCGCGCGCGCGTTTGTGTATATGTGTGTGAGAGAGAGAGAGAGAGAAAAAAAGAAAGAGAGAATACGCAAGTCATATAGCTAAAAAGTGTTGCGAATAATAGAAGAGTTACGTGTGACACATCATTGCAATCAACCGGAGCCGCAACACACGCGAGTGTCACGACATTTTCAATGTTTGCTCCTTTTTTTTTTTTTTTCAACGTACATTTCCCTCATTATGTAACACACACGCACACACACGCACACATCATACTCCAAAAGAAGTACCAAAGTCGAAACGCGTTCGCTGTCTAACCTTTAAAGGACAAGCAGCTTTGCCTCGACGAAATCGCTCGTAAACGCGAAGTGCAGAGGAGCGATGGTTGAAAAATGATGACGAAATAAGCGAAATCGGAGCGATATCTCTGGCTTTGACGTTTTGGCTTCCGGCGACGATGTCCGGAATCTTCGCTTAGGTAAACAAGAGATAAACAAAAGTATAATGACCGGGTGAAGGACATTAAATAGCGCTTACCGGCCGCCCGGTGAGGTCTTCTCGCCCAGTCCTCTTCGATCAAAGGTGTGACCTTTCGCGCACGCAGCGTAAAGGGACAGACGACGAGGAGAATGAATAAGATCGGCAGCGTCAGAAGACCACCGTGGAAACGCATCTTGGCGACTCCCGGTCTCTCGCGACGACCACCCTGTGTTCTCTCTTTTCTTTCGTCTCTTCTTCTTACGGTTTATCAGCCGGTCGCTCTCTCGCACTCGGTCCTGGCACTCGCACTGCTTGCCTTACGCATATAGCGCGCTCTTCTCCTCTTTTCTCCGCCGGCCCTCCGCCGCTTCTCTTTCCTCTTTCCCTCTGTCTTTCTCCTATTCGCACTCTCCGTGCGTGTCTTTCTCCCCTTCGTCGAAGCCCGTGGTGAACAGTGCACTGGTCTATTAACGACCGCTCACTTACACAAAACTTTCTACACTATTTCACACCGCGTAACGTAATTCCGCGCCGCTGTCGCGGCGGGTGGCAAAGAAGCGACACGCGAGGCGGAAAGAAAAACTCTATCTTTCTCTCTCTATCTTTTTCTTTCAACGGTTCCGAAAGCCCGTATCTCTATTCTCGCGTCTATATACTGCGAGTCTATATTCACGTGCGACGTATGTGTGTGCGTGTGGTGTCGCGCGGAATATATTCGTGGACTTGCACGCGAAAGTTCAAGACGACTTGACGCCAACTCGCCGCATTAGCCGTGTGCCTCGCGCACCTCGCGGCTCGCACGAGGGAACGAAACGAAGCGAACTGCGAGAAAGCCTCGCTCGCTCTCGCAACTCCGTCGTCGCTTGCTCTCCGCGATCTCTCTCGATTCCGCCGCTCGTCTCGCGCCTCTCGTGCGTCTCCACTTCGCCGCCGCCGGCCCCGGAGAACCGCGATACTGCGCGCACGTTTTATAAGGTGGTAGATACACGCTCGCTAGGAGAGTGTCCCGAAGAGACGAAGAGACACGGGAGAGTACAGCAGCAGCACCAGCTTCGTCGGCTTTGCTCGTCTTTCTCTCTCTTTCTTTTTTCTCTGCTTTTCTCTGTGTGTGTGTGCGTGCGTGCGTGCGTGCGTGCGTGCGTGTCTCTCTCTCCTCTTTGGTTTCTCCTTCCAATCTCTTTCTTCTCTCTCGTCTTCGTCTTATTTCCCGTTCTCGTTCGCCCCTCTGGCATACGTCTCTGTTATTCTCTTTACCTTCCGGTCGTATTCTCGCCTCTTCTTCGTCGCGATGTAACGCCGGTACGCATCTGACACGCCGCTGCGGCCGCGGCACCGATTCCGATTCGCGAGCGCGCCAACCGTATCGGATAGCAAACGTCCGACTGACTGACTGACTGACCGCGAGCCGCGTCTGGTCAACTACTCTCCTAGCGAGCGGAGGAGGAGAAGATCCTCCCGCGCGAGCGCGTAGCCGCAATTCCCTTGCGGTGTGTGTCCTCCTCCGAGATCGCGGAAACCGCGCGACGCGGATACCGCGACCGAGTTTCGGCAGTCGCTCGAATTCCTCGACGCGATCGCGCGCCGCCACGCCTAATATAAAACCGCTTTTCCAATTTCGTATAAACGTTCGTTTTCTATCTTTCTCCTTTCGGGCTCTCGACGGAGAGACAGACGACGACAACGACGACAACGATGCTTGCCAGCGGAAGCGTCGCTCTGTCTGGCGTCTCGCTCTTCTCTTAGAATAGTTCCCAGCCACGTGCTGCTGCGCGACCGCTCCCGGCGAAAACGACGGCAAAATCTCTCGTTTCGCGCGACACGAAAAGAAAATCGAATTTATCTTACAACTACGACGATATCAGTTTGATAATCTTGGCCGTTATCTTCCCGCCGGAAATATATATCGCCGAGAGAAACGAGCGAAAGATTTTTTCATATTACGATCGACGAACGCAAGTTCTCTTCGTCCTCGAGACGGCGCTATCGTTTCCGGTAGACGCGCAATGACAACTGTCCGCAGACTACTCGGGTCCGTCGCTTTTATGGGGACCGGGACCCCGACTGCTCCGCGCCTCTGGGGTTAATCGAGGGAACTCGTGTCGTCCGTCGTGTGTTACCTCGATCGCGCGCGCGGTGGGTGTATAGCGATTGCGAGTCGTGCTAATGTAAGCCGCGTTCGGCGTCCGAGAGGTGTGCGAGACAACACCACACGTGTGGGTGCGCCACCCCCTCCATCGAACCGGGCCGAGTCGAGCCAAGCGATGGACAAGCACCACCACCACTGTCATCAACGCCGCGCCGCTCAAGAATCGTCACCACGACTACTCCGTTCCGTAAGGACGGAGAGAGAGAGAGAAATTTGGGATCAACGGCGATATCCATCAGATATTGCAGTAATTTGTTTTTTTTTTCTTTTAGTTTCATTTGCTCAATTTTTACCACCCGTCCACACCTGAAAATATATCAAGGATCATTGCCATTTCCACCTTCACCATTATTGTATAAATTACGCTCTCAAAATTGAAACCGCAAAAGTCACTTAACGCGCGCGAAACAATAAAAATAGAATCAATCGCATCGATCATAATTTTGCACCGCCACATATTATCTCTCTCTCCCCTTCTCCTCATCTCGCACTGCGCAACCAAGAAATTTCGGTCGCGCAAACATCTAAATTTTGCCAACCGCGTAACGAACACCTGCAGTCTTAGAAAATTTATGCAGCACCAGGAAATTGAATCCATAGAAATGGCACGTTAAATCTAACCGGCGCGAAAGATATTTAACAAATTTGTTATATATATATATACCCGAAAGTGTTTAACATTCTCTATCTTATTCGCTCGGTGCTGTAAACTGTCGTACAGAAATGAACTCCGCGAAATAAATTACTTCGCGATATATTTTATTCCGAAGCGACGTGAGTGACACGTAGTGAGACGCTAATGGCCCCGCGAACTTCACGAGTTAAATTTACGTTTTTGCTTGTCGTTAAATTTTATCTATTATCATTTAAACAGCGAGAAAAATTGTTTGCTGCACAAATTTCAAACAACAAAAAATAAGACGTTTCTCGACTCACATTAAAATCCATGTCAAATTGTTTTCAACAAATATGTTGTTTAAAAATTACAAAACTGTGCATAAGAGAGAGATTTTCCGTTAAGCGCGCGAAGAAACAACGCAAAAAATGTTGAGGAGGGGGGAGGGAAAGACGAATATCAAATAATGACTCATCAATGGCGCGATCATTGTGAATGGAGATCACACGGCGGACCCCGCGGATGAGAGATAAAACTACACAGTATGAGATTCGTCGATTCGCGACATGTCGTACTGACGTCGTCGTTAAAATAAATTGACCGCGCGCAACGTATGTATATATGCGATGCAAATCCGTCTCAGCGACGTCAATCGCATACGTGAGAAGTGCGCGCGGTTATATCGAACGTCGACGTAACAAAATCGCGCGCTGTTTATTCGTCCCTCCCGATGCGTCACGACACCGAGCCCATTGAGTAAGAGACGGTGGCTTTTGCGTAATAATTAATCTCGCGTTCTTCTTCCGAAGACGCGACGTATATACCGGTTCTATTATTATCAGCTGTTCATTGAGATTTCGAAAACGCAAATTAGACGCGCGAAATAGCGACGGTTGCTAACTATATATATATATATATATATATATATATATATATGTGTGTAAGCGAGACGCAAGGTGATGTGCGCGTACGTGCGGGCCCCCAGAGTAGATGAGAAAAGAAGAATGAAGAATACCGCGATATCGTGCCGGTGTCGTTTCTTGTGTTCGAAAGCGAGAAAGGACAAACGCTTTCGCAGATGCCACGCGAGATACCTGACGGCATTCTTCATCCCGCAGCGGAACATTAAGCCGGATGCACATTCGTCGTGGACACCAACGCGCCCATATAGCTTCTAAGAAAAATATCTTCCGCTTTGAAAACGAATTTTACGGCGGATTTTGTGTTGGCGCGATATTTTTTATACCAACGACGTAGCCGCCGCGGCCCCGGGTCTCTCTTCGCCTTCTTTCGGATCTTTTTCAACCGTTCTCCATTTGCCACGCCGTCGAATTATCGTTTTCGTTTGACTAATTGGATTGACACCGTCCTGTAAAATGCATTTTTTTTTTTTTTTTTTTTTCAAAGGATTGAAAGGATCGCACGAGTTCCACGAACGCTGTTGCGTTCGGTTGACGATTATCTCACGAGCCGGATTATATCCCGCGCCACGCCGTCGTCACCGCGCCACCCCAGCGCGCAAGCGAACGTTGGTGCTGCGGCGCCGCCTTTTATCGCCGGTGCGCATCTGACGAGACGAGATACCGGGATGTTAACACTCCCACGCCGCCGCCGCCGCGCGCCTTTGGCCGTCCATTTATCCCGACACACACCGAAACTCCACCCTGCGCGCTTTTATTCGGCGTATCGCTCCGATCGCCAAGTGAAATAACAACAACAACAACAACAAAAAGAAATAATAAAACGAAACCTAAAAACTCAAGAGAAAGAAAGATATATGTATATATATAAGAAAGAAGAAAAAACGTTCCTTCGGATCGAGGCGCGACTTCCAATTTCGTCGGCGATTTAAGTCGTCATTGTAAGGAGAGACGATGGTGCGCCTCGCGCGAAGCAAAATAAGAAGAAATCGGCGCCACGCAGGATCATCAGTCTCTATTGTAGGACTGCGCGATGGAATTCTGACGGTGCATCTCTCGCGCGCGTTTTCACGGCGCGTACAGGTACTGGTACCAACCATCCGTTCTCATCCGGAGCTGGGAGAGGAGAGAGGGGGAGGAAAGAAAGACGCGAGAAATCAAACGCAAGAGAAAGAACGGGAAGAAGCGGAGGGGGGAGGGGAAGAGCGAAGGGGGATAAAGAAAGAATAGATGAGAAGACGAGAAGGGAGGGGAATAAGGGAGAAGAATCGAGAGAATGGAGAGCTTAGACACGGACTTGAAAGAAAACGGTCCGGTCGACTCTATTCATAATCGAGAATGACAAATCTAATAGATTCTCCGGAGATGTCCGGAGACCTGAACGTGTGAACGGTCGCAAGACGAAGTGGGAACGAAGGAGAGAACAGGAAATGAGGAGAAAAAGAGCGGTTTTCTTCGGAGCATAAAGTTGCTGTGGAATCGTTTCGTGCGTCGCTTGACAATGACGACGCCCCGGCGCTATATAAAAAAGAAAGAAATTCGACACGCAGAATAAAGTCAAACTCGGCGCCCATAAGACCGAACCGTGGACAATGCTCATTGTCATTAACACGGAATGTCGTGACGGAAAAGATTTTGCTATTGCTGCTGTTGTGCTCGGATGCACAACGAAAACGAACGTCCGACCGAAGGACGTCTCGATTTTTCAGACGCCACAAATGTGTATATTTACATACTTGGAATTTCGAAGTATCGAAATAATATGCCGCGACGTATGTATGCACGGCGAATACTCCAGCTACCTACCCGGGCGTTGATGTGCGTGCGATGTGTACCAACGAACGAATCCACGTTTACACCACGACGATGCGCGATCGCGTCATCGGTCGAGACTCGATGACACGAGTGATGACAACTTTCCGTTGAAGCCGAGATTTTTCCAAGGATATCCACGCGTTGTCTCTAATGTAATGATGCAAGGTGAACGGATATACATTGTTCCGTATGTTTTTTGCCTGCCTTCAAACACTTCCGCGTTTTACCGCTATTTGCGCGCGCCCTTCGTATTGCGCGATCGTGACATTTCGTCGGAATTCGGAATCGACGTTCGCTTGGACGGTTTCGAGCGGTCAGAATTAATTCGCGCGCAATTAGATCACTGTCTATAGTGTATTTCATAATAATCTGTTTTCTTTTGTTATACCGTTTGCATATAAAATAAAAAATACATGTTATTGTAGACAATATATATATATATATATATATATATATATATATATATATTTTTTTTTTGTCTACAATATATATACAATATTTTCAAGAGCAACAAAATAAAAAATTAAAAAATACACGTTAGACGCTACTCGCAATTTCAGAATTTTGGAAAACTTCGAAACATTTTTTTTCGCATTATTAATCGCACAATTTGAATTAACACATAAGTATACGTATTGACTAAGTAA